AGTCTTAAGGGACTCCTACTCATAAGTCAAAGAAACATTTTGAATAGTTTTGATAGAAAAAATCATCCTATACAGTAAATTATCTCTTTGGGAAGCTCTACCAGATTTTATGTAAATCATCTCTTATTTCCTCTAAAAATCTATTTTTAAGGCAACTAAATCGCGAGAAATAAGTTCTGTCACAGATCTAATAGTTGTTAAATCATAAGCCCCTTACCAATAAACTTCTTAAACTAAAAAGCGTTGAAAAGGTTTTCTATGTTTATCTTTTTAACTGAAGAAGACTTATACGCTTGGCTGCGCTAGCAAAGATTAGCGCTCTAGTTCATTTATGTAATTAAAGGAGTCCCAAATGTGTAACATAATTTTTTTTAACTTACTGGTAGAAACGTATATTTTTAGATCAGTTTCTTTGTATATGCACCGTTGCTAGCAAAGAAAAATAGACAATTCAGAAGTTGAAGAAATCAGTTTGTGAAGCTTAACTATTAGTTAAATTTTTGTTCTTTCCTAATGTCTGGTTGCTCAGTTCAGAGGTTTATGCCGAATTATGGTAAGCGGTGCAAATTAAACTGAGGACTCGTAGTCGGTATGACTTCGCAGTAGAGAGAGACTTGGCCTTGTAGTGACTGTTTGTTTCTTTGTTAGAGGGGAGATTGGTAATCAGAATAAACGGAAACACCTGGCAATCGGCAACGTTTTGATAAATGATGCTGCACACTAGTAGAGTTTAGGATAAACTGATGATTTTTTAGTTTTAACCATTCAGACACTGGTAGGGCGAGTAATCGGATTTATTACTGATTTTGTATCGTATTAAAATATTTAATTTACAGATTTTACAACTAAAATCAGAATCTAACATTACACGTAAGTAAACGTAAACAAATTTCCAATAGCCCTTTTGGTTTCTTGTTAATGTATTTGTGTTATTAGTGTTTTATTTTTCATCTATTTTTGGGAGGAGATTAGCTTTGGAAGGACGACAATATAAAACAGTCACAAATAGAATTTTGTTCGCAAATTAAAATAAAAAAGGATCTCAAATTGATTTTTATTATATTATTAATTCAGCTATTATGAATAAAAAACAGAAATCGATACTTTTAATAAAATGTTAAATTTGGGGAAAAGAAGCGAAATGCACTTTTTTCAATAAACAAACATCAAAGAAGGATTATTTAGGATATTAACATCAACATCTGAGCGAAGCTACTCATCAGTCAGGAAAACAGGCCAAAACAAAATTCGAAAAAAATATTTTTGCTGTGAAAAGTATATTTGTGAATTTTTTTCGAAAAGTGCTTAATAATATTGAACAACTGATTTTTTATAACTACTTTAATTACTTTTAACTTTAACACGACGAACTTCTATTTGGTTATTAAGATTTTAATCAAATAGTATTTATCTACTTTCTATTTGTTTAATTATAATTCAGAATGAAAAAAATAAAATAAATAAATAAATAAATTTTCAGCATACACTTCTGTTCAACGCTTCGTATTAAATAGTAGGAAAGTAAGAAAGACGAATATCTTTATTTCCTTTGAATCGGATACTAGCTGCCTATTTACATTTGCATAGCAGTTTGACGATAGTGACTTCTAACCCTCCAACCTACTATTAAGAAGCTCACAACAGGATACTCAGATACTCTAAGTTTACGCACTATGCCGGTAAAATATCGTTGTTTTTACAAATATAAAGGTAAACCAAATCCTCCTGCGGATCTCAGACATAAATATTTGGTAAATATATTATGCAATAAAGAAGCCGATACTGAATATGTAATTCAATCAATACCAATTATAGCGGCTATTAACAAGCTGTTGCATGTAGTAATTTCATTACCATTAAGTGCACCTGTTCTCATTACGTAATTGAATTAACAGACAGGATATTCCTCAGGACCATATGTTTGTGCTACTCCAACGCCATATTTGAAGACGATATTCTGCAATTCAATAAACAACTGTGCTCTTGGAGAAATATCGTTAAAGCAGTTTAATTTCTAGCTTTATATTTGAACTTTAAAGAGCATTTAGAATTAGTATTAAGTGACTGCACTCGTTTCTCTTTGCTTAACTGAAGGATATGATTGGGAAACTGATAAGATTTTGGAATAAAATAGTGAAAAAGATTAGTAAACATCTTCACAGACGGAATATATGATAAATGCATTTGCTGCCCTTTAATGTTTTCAAGTGATCATTCATTAGTTGAGATGGAAATGAAGATTTCAAAGTTAGATGATCTTAAATAGCTTAGTAATTTAAGGTATTGCAGAGTAGATAAATATAATAGTATTATTTGTGTTGCTGAATCTAATACGATTTGAAAATAATTGACTGAATCTACCAATATTTAATTTTCATACTAATTACGCAGATAGTCTAAACTTCCCTGCTAGAATTATGCGTTTCTGCATAGTGTACAAATTTAATTGACACAGATATTGCATTAACATTGGATTGCAAAATTGTCGAAGTAACACAGATGCGAACATATTGAGAAAACTATCCCAATCACCCAACGACAAGTTACAACTTTAGCTCACTTTTGAGGATTCAGTGAATTAGCAAAAATATTTAGGCTAATGTTTTTTGAAAAACATTATATATTTATTTCGTTACATTACTATTACCAAACAAATTCAGGAAAATATAGAGAACTCGTAATTTCACAATATTTAAAATGTAAAGAAAGTTTTTCAAAGTGAGGGTCAAGACTAAGAGCACCTCTAATGCAAATTAAAATAAAAAAGGATAAAGACCTAAGATATTTGAAATTTGTGAAAGACTGCTAAAGTAATATTTTTGATAAACATAAGTATTAATTCTTTACTTAGATATTAATTTGTTTAACGGAATTTAAGGGGAAAAATTAAGTCCTCTTGTCACTCTTTAACAAACATAAAAAAGAACTTCTAAATTTCTATTGCTCAATGCGTTTTTTCCCCTTAGTACTCAGTACGACTTCAGTTAAGTAGCTGCCCATGCTTGAATTGATGCCTTGTCCTCTTCAACAATGCAGTACATGTCGAAAGCGGTCGTTTCTTTGACGTGCCTTCTTTCTAAAAAAACACTCGAACTCAATTAAATTGCCGGTTTCCGACACCAAGCTGCTCGGATTGGCAAACATAAATTGTAATTGAAAGGGAAAAAATTCGTCTCCCTTCTTATTTTCCACGTTCCTCCTGTCTCTTCTGCACTTGAACAGCGGTGACATTTCGATCACCACTTCTAAGCGCAGTTCTGGCAATGGAAAACAAATAAAAGTGGCCACGGAATTCAATTAATTCCGGTTTTATAGCTTCTTTTGCACTTTTATTGACCATTTCGTAGACTTTTTTTTGCAGGAAGAAATCTGATGACGTATGACTGAGAATATTAATTTCTGTAACCGCTCATGCGGAAAATGAAAATGTAGGGTGACAAACTTCAAGTCAGTAATTTTGAACGAGACAATATGAGGGCTTCATTACAGGAAGTGCTTGATTAGAAGAATATCATTAATCATCAAAGGAGTTTGGTAATGAACGTCATGTTTCTTGAGTATTTAATGAGCGAATGCGACGTTTATTTCCTTAGTGGCTAAAGTTTTCAATTAAAAATTTGAAAGTAAACATTGTGCTTTGTTGTTGTCCTATACTTAAATTTTGACATAATAACCCACACTGATCTTTCTTAAAAATAAGATGAGATGTACTATGTTATGTAAAGATAGCTTTTTAAAATGTTTTATTATTATTTAAGTTTTTATTTGTGTTGTATGAAGCTTTATTTTGTATTAAGTTTCTAAATGCAATATTTCCATATATTGAGCTATAAAACTGTAAAGCTAACATTCGAATAATGTCAACGGCTTTTCTTTAGAAGACTTTACAGGTTTCTCAAAGAAGGTTTATAAAACAAGATTTACCTGTACTCGTAAAAAAAGGGAAATTTTTAAAAGTAACTGTAGGGAAAATTTTCAATTATTTTTAATTTAAAAATATTCATTATAATTAATTATTATTCGTATTACAAACAAAAAATAGCTTCTTAACTGCCTGAATTACGCTTTGCAAATTTCCCGTTAAAGTAGACTGAATTTACTTCCTTAGAGTATGCTGCCTTTACGGCTTAGGCCCTCACTTCTCAACATGAAAGCATTTCCTGGAAGGATGTTAGGATAAATATTTTTAAGTATACTACTGGCATTCATTTCTGAAAATTTAGTTTGTCGATAAGGGCTAAATTCTAAATGAGATTAAACATAGAGTTCCAACAGTGCCTTTTCAATGAATTTTGGCCTTCATCTTAAGAGAATTCAAAAATGGACAAGACTATTTAATTCAAAATTACATATTAATAACATAAAGTAGTATTCTTTTACATATCTTAAGTAAATGTATATTTTTCAATAATTGGTTAAACTGAATTTACTATTTTTTGACAAGTAGCGCTATCTGTCTAGAGAGAAGGAGGTTTTCGTAAAGGGCTTTCTAAAGGAAACTAGCTCGAAATCAAGCTACACATATGGGACAAGAGCAGAAATGCTTGTATAACCAGCTCATTGGCAGTGTTTTTAACTCCACTCGAGTCCAACAAGCAGTATTCAGTATTACTTTGCGTTGATCCTTCTCATATGAGGAGCGTAATAATATTGTGGACATAATGATAATGAAACATAATAATTGATATACTTTTATTGTTCTTTAAAGGATTTTTAATTCAATTGAACATTGAATACATAGGGTAAAGCAACATAGATTAATTGCTTACGTTGCGCAATCGAAGATTATGATAAAACAAAGTAATAAGTTTTCAGAAACGTTAGTTATTCTACAGAGAGAGAGTAATTAATTATGAATTAAGGTAGGTGAAAAAGCAAAGTTGCGTCTCTAGGAGAGAATATTATGATTCTAAGGAGATTCATTATAAATGTTTCGTTTTACAGTTTTATTAAAACACTTATTAAATATCCAGAGAGTGAGGTAAAATATTAGTACTTACATTTTTTATAGCGTTTGAAGAAATAACTTTATCAATATTCATTTTCTATGGTTCAAGGTTTCATCTAAAAAGAGAAAAGAACTTACATTAATCTTTACCATAACTATAACATATATATGTTCTAATTTGGGAGAGAAATTAAAAACAAACATTGAAAAAAATTGTATGCAGTGCTCAATTTAATTACTTATTTGAAGATGATTTTCCTCCCATTTATTTTTCCTTGAAGCCAATGTTGGCGTTCTTTTTACAAGTAAATTTCAAAGTGTTATTCATTTCATGCCATAATGCTAATTAAGTAAAATTTTAGTGAAGCGTGTTTTGATTTACGGATGAGACTATATGAATAACATTGTTGAATTTATTTAGCATCCCTTTAAGTAACTTTTGTAATTTTAATGTTTATGAATAATTTATTATGTACAAAAAATTAAATACATAAAATTCAACAAATATGATTATATATACTACACATTGTACCCACAATCGGACTTCATCTTCGTAAACGCTAGTCCAAGACATATACCGTATTTACGCGAATGTAATGCGCATCGTTTTTGGCCAAATGTAATATTCAAAATTGGGGTGCGCATTAGATTCGATGGCGCATTAGATTCGAGTGCAAAGTTCGCCGATGACGTCCACCAAATTTAAATCGTAACAATGGATTACTGTATTTGTCGACTAGATTTACTGTTACATTTATCGTTGACACATTATTGGATAGAGGATACAAACTGCAGAGTACGTAGTCACGAAAGGGAGGGCAAACAGAGGAGAATGTCATATGACGCTACTTTCAACGTAAGTAATTCTTTATGCTGAAAAAAAATGGCAATAGAAAGGCAGGGGAGAGTTCAACGTAGCTGAGAGCAGTGTTCGCTTGTGGCGGCAAGAGAAATTGGCACTGTTTGCAACTAAAGCTAGTAGAAAGAAATTCACTGGCTTCGCAAAGGAACACCCCTAAAACTGAAGAAAAAGTTTTGAAATTTGTACGTGAAAGGAAGAAAAATGAACAACCTGTGACTAGTGACACCATAAGAAATAAAGCAAAAGAGCAGGCTGAAGTTCTTGGAATACCGAAACAAGAGTTTAAGGCTAGCCGTGGATGGGTGGATCGGTTTATGAAGCGGATGCGCTTATCTCTAAGACGCCGTACAACAATATGCCAAAAGCTTCCTGCAGATTTTGAGGGAAAACTACTAACATTTCAGCGGTATGTCATCACACTTCGGAAGGAAAAGAATTTTTTAATGGAGCAAATTGGCAACGCTGACGAGACGCCAATTTGGTTTGATATGCCTCATAACAACACCATTACGGAGAAGGGGACTAAGGAAGTTATCATTAAAACTTGGGGATGTATAAAACAACGCGTAACAGTGATGCTGGCAATAACAGTAGACGGGTGCAAACTTCCCCCTTTCTTAATCTTCAAACGGAAAACAAGCCTGAAAACCCCTAAGAATGAAAAGCTGTTCCCAGATGATGCCCTGATTCGAAACCAAGAGAAGGGGTGGATGACGAAATCATTAATGCTTGATTGGCTCCGAAATGTATGGGAACGCCGTCCCGGTAGGCTCTTCAATCCACCATCAATGCTTTGTCTGGACGCATTTCGTGGTTATCTCACCGACGACGTAAAAAAGAACACGCGCAACCTAGGCAGTGATCTTGTAATCATTCCTGGAGGGATGACGTCTGTGTTATACAACCACTGGACGTTAGTATAAATAAACCTTTTAAGAGGTACGTTCAGGCGGAGTACGAAAAATGGTTTTGTGATCCAAACCGTGAATTGACCCCGATAGAAAACATTAAGCGTACTGCACCGCACATTGTTGCACACTGGGTTTCTGCTGCCTGGAAAAGCATCGAAGATCCAACGATTGCGAAATCTTTCAAGAAATGCTGCATTTCAAATTCATTGAATGGCAGTGAAGATGACGTGCTCTGGAACGCCGAGGATGACGATGATGACGACGAGGAAAGAAGAAATGAATCTGCTTCTGACGAAGAGAGTTGCGAGGATTCCAGTGATGAAAACATTAGTGAATAAAGACGATTACTATTAATCACGGTTTGTAGAAATTGTTAGCTATAGAAATGTTACGATTTATTTCATGTTCATATTTTACGATAGATACTGTATATACGGTAGTGGTAATGAACAATGATTGTTTCACATAACAATAGCCCACTGATAGGTTAATTCTATGTTATGCTACTTTATGTATAAATCCATTGTTGTATAAAATATGGTATCTAAATTTAAATAAAATTATCATACCATTGATTGATAGTTTTTATATACAAATCCATATTTGTATAAAAAGATTCAATAAATTCCTCATACCATTGATGCGCCTTACATTCGCCGACAAACATTTTTTTTATAATTTTTAAAGTTTTAAAATGGGATGCGATTAGATTCGCATTAGCGCATTAGATTCGCATAAATACGGTATTTCCAATTACAAAAATGTTAAAAATTGATTATTAGAAAATTATTATTGATTGATTATTAACTGATTCAGTAAAAATCATTGCACTGATTTTTTTCTAAGATTTATATTATTTTTAGTTTAACTATAAGCATTTCATTCTTAAATTTGTATACGGTCCTCGATTCAATATGATTCTCAATTTTATTATTCAAAATTTATTCAAAATATTTGGGTTAATTTTTGTCGTACGGGGGGTAACGCGTATGAAGTACACAACTTCTTTACGTGAGATTTCGCAATTTTTACAAAATTGATTTTTTATTTAAACTTAAAAATGCCGACACATGAAGTTTTATTTCATTTAAAACAATTTTGTACTGGAAGTGTACATCTCCGATGAGTGGTGGCTAAACTAAACGCCAATACTGATTTTCTTGGGCTTGTGCATAATGATATGCTTTTCAAAGCAATTTTCACAATCAATGCATGAGGGCTAATTACGTCATTGTACGCAAGTCATGGACCTTATATGAGATAGACTAACCCAGTGGGCGGGGCGCGCGTCATTGACATGTCGGCAAGAAAGAGTAGGGACGATCTGTTTTAGTTTAACACTGAAACCTATGGCGTTTGTATAACGTAACTCTTTTTAATTATTAAATGTGATACGTTGTATAGTGATGAGATTATGAAAGCCACAGTTTTTTCCAAATAGGATTTAATATATCTCCTTAAAGCACTTTTTACTGATTTTCGCCCATTTTTGTTTTTACGCGTAACTCTTGCACAAACATCTTTACTTTGGTAAGACGGTAAAAACTGTAAGCACAAAATTCATGAACTTAATTTTGCGTGAAAAATGTTAAATTAAATAAGATTGATAGTACGCGATGCTTTGAAATAAATAAGGTAAAATTAAACAAGAACTGATAATTTTTTTTTTAAAATATAATGAACATTTTCAGGCAGTGATTTTCCAAACTATACTAACATTACAAAACGATCATATTTATTTGATTATATGATCATTAAATTATTAACATTAAAGTGGATTAGTTATTTTAATAATTCATAAAATTCGTAGCATAATTTTTTTTTTCGTAATGAAGGGAAAAAATAAAATAAAATAAAATCTAGAAGCACTCAGATTTTATATTACGCCCAAAAGGAGCCTTTTTTTTTAAGTTTTGTGTGTTACCTATATTTATTGAATATCATGTTCTTTGCCCGTAAACCACATACATTTGAAAACAGCATATCTTTAGAATTTCTGCAGTGGAGATAAAACTCTTATTTTCCGTACAATGCTCGCTCAGAACTCGTTGAGTTTGTTAATCAAAAATTCGTTAAAGTTTTACAAAATATGAAATAGATTAAAACAAATTCGAAATTCGGCCGTCCAGATGCCCATGCTTGGGTGGAGGATTAAATTATTCAAAATTTGATGGCTCTAGATACTGTTGTTTTTTGTCAGTGCGGGAAGCATACATGTATTCATGCAGATTCTTCATTATTTAATTTCTTTAAATATAATACCGGGCGATAATATTTGGTAACAACAATTTGCAAGGAGACACGGACATTTATAGTAAAAAAGCGCAAAATGCCGCTTCGCAACTAACAGCCTTTCTAGGCTACCGCTCTATTAGGCTAATAAATTAAATTAACAGTAAATTAAAAAAATCTTATGCAGAACTAAAAATAAATTTAAAAAATAATCACTATAAAATACAAGCAAAATTAATTATTTCCGTTAAATACAATTTTAATATTAGAATTAAATGTATAAATATTTTTAAGGAGTCAAACGTGTTTATCACTATGATGTATTATGAAATATAATTGAAATAAAATTCCTTTATAGAATTGTGCCATAATACATCTATAATTTTAAAAAAGCAGCACAATTTAGAATTTTAAACAAAACTTTCAAAAAATTCGTTTTTAAATATTTAGTATTTTTTAATTATTACACCAATAAAAAGCATAAAAATTGCAAGAGAAAATTGCTTGTTTGAAATTTTCTATTAGTTCACATTTAAAATATTGTTTTCTAAAAGAAGTAGTTACAAATTTCCTTACAGCATCGGAAAAGCTAAAAAAATATCCAGTCCTGAAAGCATGCAATAGTTTTATAAATATTTGGAACGTTAATTATGCTTGATCAATATGCTAAATTTTTAAAAATCAATCTCAATTTCAAAAATAAAATTATGTAGAAATTCCAATTTGTGAAATGAGGCGCTACAACCAGCTTTTTCTTGACAATTATACACGCTGCAATAGGCAACCAATGTTAAATTTCTGCAAGTCGTCCCTACTCCTCCGGATGTGATCAAGGTGACAGCCGGCAGTCTATTTCTTATAAGGTCCATGACGCAAGTGAAAGATGCACTCATCGTATTTCTCACTTATGATTGAATTTGATCTGTAATGTCATCTGTAGTAATGTTGAAACTATCAGTATTAAGTAAAGTTATGCAACTATGTTTTACAGTTTAATTTTCTCTATTGAATAATGTTTATTCATAAAAATGATTACCTCAATAAAATCGACAATTATTACAACGAATGCATTTTCACTGTAGTCAATTCAATAAAATGTTTCGTATTCT